TGAAATTATAGTATGTTCTAATAAGGTTATAAACGGTACGCTAGGGTGGGACACACACCGAACAAAACCCCCCTATCCTACTGCATTTCAGCACTGGGACACTTGAAGTCAAAGACACTTTTGGATTCTTAACAGACAAGGTAAAATTAGCATATTTGACGAGTGATATTGGAACATACCAAATACCTTTGCTTGCCATCATATATTTATATTAGTACATTACCACAACACACAATACATGTTTAACTACAAATGAACACAACTCAGGTACACCTTTACTTAATATCTTTAATTAATATTTAACTAACATCATGCATTTGTTTTACATCGCGAAATAACAAACCAGATAAATTAAAACAAGATTATATTCCCTTAATATATAGCGGCAGAAAATAATTCCAGAAGCAAAATTGTGCATAAATAGCTCTATGTAATCAGATATATTGAAGAATCTAAATTTTATAGTCTAGGACGTCCTTCAGTATTCACACCTGTAGAGAGAGAGAGACAAATATAAAAAATTTAGGTTTTATAATCTATATATTCTATACACAGTTCAACTAGAACTAATCTCACCAGTCTTATAAGACACACCCAACACAAAATGCGGTAACTGGTACACTGAGAATATGTTAGACATCACAAGTTATTTAGAAACAATGGGAACATTTTTGCGGTAGCTATTTCGGTGCGTCTATTGATTCAGTTTGCATGCGAAGAAGGCTCAATAATTGGTCCATCCACCCAACACGGCTGAAAGCCAGCAATATGTTTATTGTCGTAGCATTTTTAAAATATGACGTGTTTGTTATCAGAACACGTTGAAAATAACAAGTAGTTGCCGTATCTGTCGAACTATCGCATTTGCTTTACAGAGCTCCTCGGCTCCACCACCATTCTAGAACATAGCAATCAGTACTTACGTTTTTTCGTTAACTTTCCAGCTTTCTCCAAATTCGTTGACATGCGTGGTGCGCGTGCCATCTGGCTTCTGGAAATCATTCAGTGGATCACCATCCGCGTTGCCAAGGAGACCACAAATGTTGCCATGGTAGTCGGGGTGACTCACAACAGCGCTGAATGCATGCTTGCGCCCCTCCCATAATATGTCCATGTTGAAACGCTCTATTTTCACACCCACCATAGCGGGATCGGTAATAATTTCAAAGTTCACAGGGCTACCATTCAGTTTTGCCGCCCAAAGCGGAACATCGTTTACCTACAGGAAAGAGATCGGTATGATGTCAATATGATTAAACTGTGTTGTCAACTAGCGTCGCGTTTAATAGTATTAGAGCGCGGCGGTCGTCGCGCAGCGCATGTACGAATTTCATGTAAATAAACAATGTATTTTACACGCGTTGTATACGTCGCTATGAGTCCCATATCGAACAGGACGCGGCACGTAGTATCCGTAATATGACGATATTACAGCTATCTTCTGATTACAAAATATACGTTGTTTATCATAGTATCTGTGTTTGATATAAACGCTCAATTCACCAACATTCATAAGTAAGTTGGCGAAGAGCGAGAAGGAAATTACCGAAAATTCCTGAGTTTGACCGCAACTTATGTCGAGTCTAGATGATGCAGTAAACGGACATCATATTTGTTATTTTGAGTAATCAAGAAAGAGCATTTTCCTAAACTGTCGTTTTCATCAAATTTTCCATTTAGTTGTCTCCATCTTAAACTAGCCCACCCAATAAAAGAAAAGTTTACCAAAACTTCATTTGTTGTATCCATGCTCAAACGCTCATCACCGACTGTCACATTTAACCTGACGGCGCGTGTTTTCAATTCATCACCACTTGAAGGTCTTGGGGCGAATTCTGCAGTAACTTCAAAGTCTGGATTCTCTGTGCAATGTTTTGCTAATGTGTACCAGCAAAGCCCCTGGAAGCTGTAACCATGTCCGTCAAAACTTCTCATATGTGGATCTCCACGAGTGCTGCCTGGGGTGCAGACTCCGTCGTCTTGAAATAGAAAAAGCAGCCGAATAATTAAACAATACTAGCATTTTTGACGTGAAATTATATTTCTATACATATGAATGAATGTGTACATGTCATTAATCGCGCACAAAAATGTAAACGACAAAGAATTCTGATAGAACTCGCACATTAAATACCCTATTTTTCACATTTCAGTTTCATCTACGACCAGAGTACGGTTAAATAGGAGTTTATTATAATTCACAGATGCAAATATTGAGACAGCGTTATGGGTCCCAGTATGTAGAGAGATGTGCGTTTATATCGGTTATTAATCAGAGTATCGGTATCGTCACAATTTTAGAATTGTTTTCTTCTAATAATAATATGGTCGAGTTAAAGCGCCCCCTCCTCCTATATACTCTCACCTATCTGATGCTGGTCCACAGTTCCTCCCTCATCGTTTGTTATCTGTGTCACGCCGGTCACATCATATGGTGGTACAAACCCGTTAGGAGGAGTCCACAAGATTTCCGCAGACTGTTTGCCGGCTTCAATCGTAGTGGAGCCAGTTACCACTGGCACCTCCAATAAGTAAACACTGTCATCGATTGCCCAGTGAATGATTATGTCCTGGGCAAGCACTGATGTGGTGGTGTCGGCTCTTATGAATTCTATTTTATAGGAACAGTCTCCGAGTCTGGTGTGAGTAACAACTACGTCATCTAATGAGAAAAAAACGGAAGGACTCATTATAGAGTAAATTAACACGTTACGATTATAAGACGGGAACTTTCTATCCGTTAGTATTGAGAAGGGGATTATTATTGTTAAATTATTGTTTAAATATATAAGTACACTTCGTCACGGCGTACTAGTAGTATCGACTTCCACGGAAACTATACAGAAACTCGCCACCAATAATAAAACATACTGGGACCATCGTCGTTTTTTTTTTTGCTGATGTAAATTTATAACAATGGCGAAACTGTGATTTTATAATAATACAAATAATAATAAAAATAAAATACTAACATTTTGCAAAACGTGTCACACTGACCACATTAGTTGAATCTATTTGCTGGGAATATAAAATTAAAAAAAAAATTATTAATAGAAATAATTACAAACAATATTGACAAACCAAAGTCAAATAGTATATTGTTATATAATCATCCGTATTGGGTTTGACAATAGTTCTGTCTTACTACGTTTCCCATATTTGCGCTGTCCTTCCTGGTTACTTCTCGCTCGCTGAATCGAATAAACTATATACAACGTCATAAAAGCAGTCTCTCTGTGAAACCATCCACAAAATCACATCGCCACATTCGATACCAATTGTCTATGCCATAATTATATTGTGTATATATTGCATGGACAACAAAATTGTATTTTCTTGAATTCGGTGCTCAATATGTACTTTTTTTTAAATAAACTTCCTCTACTCTATTTCAACCAAGTTACTGATTTAAAGCCAAAACATCCCTCAGTGCCATGTAGCGATGTAGTTTGGGTTTAATTTGGGATGATAATAATAATAATAAGTAACAGGCCCCGGAGTGGTGTATGTTTACAAAATACTGCGCCAAGACCGAGCTATCGGCTTTATAATATGCGCGGCAATATAGAAAATATGTTTGTTTTTTAAACATGTCACCTACCCGTATATGTCTTGGACTGGCATTAACTGTGCATCCTAATATAATGGTTATTACCACAAGTAGTAACATCATGCTGCTTATGAGATGGTTGTTGCGTCACGGCCAGGGATATGTGCACACACTGTTCCGTCTAGAGGCGCCAGTCTCATCTATCACACAACTCTAAACACCAAACTGCGAATTAGAGAGATGTCACCCTGATATGACGTCAATCACACACAGGTGACGGCGATGCACCGCTGGTCAGATGTTTGTTTTATCAACATCACGGTATGTAAATCGTGTCGGTCATTGTAATAACAAGGTTATCTTCGTGTCATATTTAAAATATGTCTATGTTAGATATATGTGATGAGAAGTAAGTAATGAGCGGAATTTGTATTATATTATACATCGCTCTGACTTGTATAGATGGTGAACCTAATCTTTTTAACAAATATAACTATGCTGAACGCAATATAACTTGTATTGTTGAATGCAGATGGCCGATCTAAACGAATTTTACGTGTCTACAGTATACATAACTAATATAAATTTTAAAGAACGATTTTGTTGAGTACCAGAATACATTGGAAAATTCCGAAAAATGTCCGCTGAATATCATTAATTATATCACTTAAAAATGTCATCGTCTATTGTGTTTTTTTTTTATGATATCGGTATGCAATTAAAAATTCTAGAAATTACTTTAAAAAAGAAGTAGAAAAATAATATTATATACAATCCACTGTTTAATTACAAATTGCGATGGATTGCTTTCCATTGAGCTGTAATCTATGAATACAAGACATGTGTCACCGCGCATAACAAACCAGATGCGCTAAAAAAAACAAGACGAACCCAACAAACAAAATCTTAAATAAAAACTAATTTTGTGGAGCGCGTTTTGGTCAGAAACATAAAGTTAGCTTCACTATTTGGGCAAGGAGTGATATTATACATAGTTTGGTTTTATTATTTTTAATGTGCCAATATTAGTTAAAATGCCTACCAGATTAGAAGTAATATAAATAAATACGTATGATTTTGATTTTCACATATTCGGGGTTAAACTTGAACAAGTATTGCATTTTAAATATATTTCGGTACTTTTGAAATAGGACATAGCTTGAATTAAATATGTCGTATAAATTACTATTTGTGCGAATTATTCGCATCTGACGCCAATTCATTACAAACTGAAAATAATGTTTATATGATATTTAGGCAGATTAACTGCCAACGATGACAAAATAACAAAGCGTGTACACGCGATGTTACACGCCAAAACATTTGGGTAACTATGGGTTGTAATCTCCTCTCAATGCGGGATGGAGAGAATGACAGGTTAATAACAAATAGAGAACGATGTTATTAGAAAAAACATCATCAGCCGTTAAAATGTATGTGGCTTTGAACTATATTATCTTTAGAAAAAAATCTCGTCACGATATCAATTATTAACATTTTAAAAATTAAACAATGTATGTAGTCTCGCTACTTATATTAATAAAGATTTGTATAATCATATTTCCGTGCATATGTTTGTTACAGATGTATTATGAACGGAAATATACATATTTTAATATTGTTGTTTGATACTCCATACTGTATACCAGACTACGATTGTTATGATCTAACAATGCTGTTTTTACAGGACACACAACAGTATTCGTTATATCAAAACCGCTAATACAATACGTATGCTGATTGATTGCTATTGCACATGTCGAAACAGCCAAGCGTGCGCATGCGTATTTGTTTCATCGACAACAGTATCAAACAATCAAACTATCTTTAATTAAACAATATGCCACCATTTCTTCTGTGTCAAATATGACGACACCAGTCTTAAGCAGTCACACTAGAACGCGCGTTGTTCGATGAGGGTCTCGTGCTCGTGCTGGGTAAAGACATTGTTTACATGGAATGTGAAAGATGGAATCTGTATATTGGCTGTGACGCTTTATTACATGAAGACGTGTGGACAAACTAGTTGTTGCTGTCCCACGTGGACAGAACCTGAGTTCGTTGAGATGCAAAATTTATCAGACAGAACGTCTCTGCTTATTAAAAGCTCTCCCATTTCTAAGGATTTATTGTCGTGGTCATTTGCTGGTAGCTCTGCTCTCCCGATCAAGAATACGAACATACATACTGAATTGTTTACTTTTGACATCCAAACTTCAGCCAGTCACACAGCAATCAATCAATCAATCAATCAATCAATTAATCACTCAATCAATCACTCACAGCAATCTCTCACTCACTCACTCACTCACAGAAATCACTCACTCACTCACTCACTCACTCACTCACTCACTCACTCACTCACTCACAGCAATCACTCACTCACTCACTCACTCACAGAAATCACTCACTCACAGAAATCACTCACTCACTCACTCACAGAAATCACTCACTCACTCACTCACTCACAGCAATCACTCACTCACTCATTCACTCACTCACTCATTCACTCACTCACTCACTCATTCACTCACTCATTCACTCACTCACTCACAGAAATCACTCACTCACTCATTCACTCACTCACATAAATCACTCACTCACTCACTCACTCACTCACAGCAATGACTCACTCACTCACTCACAGAAATCACTCACTCACTCACAGAAATCACTCACTCACTCACTCACAGAAATCACTCACTCACTCACAGAAATCACTCACTCACTCATTCACTCACAGAAATCACTCACTCGCTCGCAGCAATCACTCACTCACTCATTCACTCACTCACAAAAATCACTCACTCGCTCGCAGCAATCACTCACTCACTCATTCACTTACTCACAGAAATCACTCACTCGCTCGCAGCAATCAATCACTCACTCACTCATTCACTCACTCACAGAAATCACTCACTCACTCACAGCAATCTGTCACTCACTCACTCACTCATTCACTCACTCACTCACTCACTCACTCACTCACAGAAATCACTCACTCACTCATTCACTCACTCACAGAAATCACTCACTCACTCACAGAAATCACTCGCTCACAGAAATCACTCACTCACAAAAATCACTCACTCACTCACTCACTCACTCACTCACTCACTCACTCACTCACTGAATGAATGAATGAATGAATGAATGAATGAATGAATGAATGAATGAATGAACGAGTTGAATAAATTACGGTTGTGAGTGAGGCAATAGACAGAGCATGCGTTATTCAGAAACGTCATCAAATCTTTGTCGCTACCTTAATAGTACGGTACTGTAACACACAACAGAATACTGAATACCATGTAATTATTGTTTTACATATAGCATCTCAATAAACACTGCCGTGCAATTCAACCTTTCCAACAATTATCAGAAGTTTATATTTCAATTCATCAACAGGTCAGTCGTGGCTGGATAAGTTTTTTTCATTCGTTTAAACATTGAACAATACACTGTCATCAAATAATATTGATTTGAAATAAGTGACTACTGTTAATAATAAATTACTGTACAAAGCATGGCGCGAAATATTACAAATCGCATCTTGTTTCTGCCGTGCAAAATGATATGAGCTAAAACGGTTGTTGTGAATTGAAGGACACAACGATTTGCGTTGTGTAATAGCATAAGGTTATTAATCCAAAATAAATCTTACGCTTATAGAATATGTTCAAACTTGGTATTTCATTTCGCCGTATCCATGTCAATGCATTCATTAACGAAGATGCGCATGCGCACGAATTTATCTGTACGTACAAGTAATTCAAAACACACGTGCTTTGCGTCGAACGAATAACGCTATGCTTATTGCCGAATCAGCGTTTATAATGATCTCGTTGACCAGCGTCTCTATGCCGATAGTTAGTTTCATGTTTATGTCTGGTGGCGACAGCCCACCTCTTTCGTGTACAATATATCGTGGTAAAGGTACCACCGCGTGAAGGTGTCGTCGTGTGATAACTTAGTGTGATAACACAATAACTGTCAAACTGAGAACTTACAGCTGAGTATGATGATTTGTATATTATCTTCACGAAGTAATGAGAGGGTATATTTTTATGCAAAATAGAAATATTCAAATTACTTTAACGTCACCATTAAACGCGTGAATAGCCATTTGTTTGATACAAGGAAATATGGAATAAAGGAATACTGTTAATTCAAAGACGCAATATGGAAGAGCCACGGGAGTAGGGAAACTGACACATTAATGTTTTCAGAATTTGTTTTGTGTCCATGTGTATTTATGTCAGTCTTCATCGCAGAGACTACGGGTCTTTTATCACTAAGCTAGGTCGCCAAGGAACACACAACTCGTTGTGGCTTTCTGTGGCTCCATAGGTCAGGTTATAAGCTCTAAGACTTTGAACGGAAGATGATATTTATGTGTCACATGTCAGTTTTCTATGATTTTAAATTAATTGACCTTACAAAGTTTTCTGTTATTGGTGGAAGTTTACCCGATCTTATTGCAGAAAAGGATGCGAGCAGTTTTCCACATGTCACGACACTTATTTCTAAGTGTCACACTACAGATAATAAATACAATACTAATAACAGTATGTGTAATAGTCTTGTGTGGACCAAATCTATAATATATTAAAACTGATATAGTCTGTGTGCTAAACATTTATGATTTGAAAATTAAAAAAAAAAAAAAAGAGAAAAGTATGGAACTTATTCAACTTATTTACATCACGATTATCTATATGTTTTGTTGTTTGGTCTGCGCGGGCACGGTGTTCAGAAATAATCAGGCATCAATTTATTCATTTATTTATTTACGAAAGTAGGATTGATTTGAGATAACGTTTGTTGGCATTTCTCTAAATATATTTACAAGAGGCAATACTGGGTAAAATAAGGGAACTTCGTAGTAATATTAAGCGCGGTAGTCGTCGCGCTGCGCATGTGCGAGATATATGGCTCTCATATAAACAAAGATGGCGACTTTGACTGTTGCGCAAGATCAACGAGTACGAAGACGTTTCCAAGCTTTAAATAGGTAATTTTCATGTGATTGGAAGGTATCGGAGGAGTCACCGGCGGTAATCAGTGCAAGTCACGCCCAGGCAAAACCTCATACTTGTGATTTCCATTTGAAGAGCGAATTGGATAGTGGGAAAATCAATATTTATCAACACAAATGTCGCACATGCGCAGTACGACGACTACCGCGCTTCAAGTTTGACCGGGACACAATGCCGAAGTTGAGAAATAAAAACAATCACTC